GCTTCTGTTTTTGGAAATAAACTCTCTTGGTTTTTGGCTCATCTTCTTCTTTCTTTGCCTTCTTTGTCCCTCCTTCTCCTTAAAATCAATCATCAAACTTTTAAAACAGTGGAGGACTAAATAGTGGGAGTGCAGATATTACTTTTATGTAAACTTAACAGGGCTAAATGATTAGTTTTTGAAAAAAAAAAGATTAATTAATTCTTTTTTTGAAACAAGAGACTAATTTATAATTTATTCGTATTTGTAGTAGTCATGTATTTTTAGTGTGCAAAACTTTTTGAATGAAACTGTACCAAAATTAATAAAATAACTTGATTTCAAAAGAAATATAGTTCAAGGAAAGTCAAATTCGAGATTGAAAATTGAAGGGTTAATTTCAATGACTTTAAACTTGAATGGGAAGAGACCCATTTACCCTTAATGAAGTACTCTAGTAAATGAATAACAACTTTTTTTTTTTTCCTTTTTTGGCAAGGTCAAATTCATGTCATGTAGTATTCTCTATAAAAATTCAATTTTGTTTTTCCTGCTCATATTACTTATTTCTTTACTTCTTCCACTCAGAAAAAAACAAAAAAGCGTAGGTGTCCTCTTCTCGTTCTCTTTTTTTACAGGTTTAATTTCATTGTCTTACCACTTCATTTTTTTTTCTTTTTTGGGAGTAAAACTTAAAGCATTTTCTTTCTTTTCCTTTTTGCTATTGTTACGAATGAAAAAATGTTAGAAAATAGTTAATTTTCAATGATTCAATTCGAAGGATCTTCCTACAAATACTAGAAAATAATTTTGAAATATAAACAAATTTTTTATATAAAATCTTCATACAGATAAATGTTACACTTACTTTTCTCATAAAAACGATTAGTTTAAAACACCAAGACGGCATGAAACCAACTTGGAGAAAACAACACAAAGTAAAATCTGTAAAGATAGAAGGTATAGAAAAAACCATAATGGAAAATAGGAAAATAAAACACCATACCTTTGGTGATGAAAGGACATTTTCAGAGCATGTTGCTTTTATAAATGTTTAATTTGACAACAGATTTTTATTAGCCTAACAGAATACATTTCGCTCAAAAAATTACATTTGCTATAAAACTGATTAATAATGCATCTTTTATGATAAACACATGCTATATATAATGAGAATTTTGAAGGAAAAAATAAAATAAAATCAGTTGCTTTACATTCTTGCAATACACAGGTGCCAACTCTTTGGGGTATTTAATCAAGGAATTCAATCCATTTTCTTTAGCAATATGACTTAAGTAACCAGGAAAGATAAAAGGATTACTCTAAAACCCTAAACCTGACCAATGATAAGAAAAGTATTCATGAGTCCCATATTGCAGTGTAACACAAATCTGAAATGAGCAACAATTAAGGTTTCATTGCTGATTTCAAGTTTGATTTTTAGACAATCTCTCTTTGATTTCACACTTCCATACAAAGGATGGATTATTGTCATGTATTATTTTATTTTTTTCTTTTGAGGTAATTATGTATAAAAATGTCTGCAGAAAAGAACATTTTTTTTTCTTCCTCGGCAAACACCCCCCTCCCCTGGTCAACCTGGGATGTAAAAAACATAATTTCTGATGAATCTCCTAGTTGGTTATAAAAGGAGTTTCCTTTTCTTCTTTTTTTTTTTTTTCACTTTCAAATTAAAATTTTAATTTTTAAAATAGGATTCTTTTAAACTTACATCCCAAACTAAGATACTATATGCCATGTAAGCTCTAAATTTGCATTTCATATTCTTTTTTCCTTTACAATATTAATAAAACTCTAATTAAATTCAATTTTTTTTTGCAAATAAATTTATAAGAAGAACATGAAAATAATGAAGTCCCTTTCTCCTCCATTTTGTTCTGATCTCTAATGCAAATTTAGTAAGGAAATGGAATCTGTTTCAATTGTAATATAGTCAATCTCCATCTCTCAAAGCAATCTATTTGCATGTATAAAAATAAATGAGTTGGGAATACGATTTTGATAGATACGATCTTGACAAATTGTTATGATTGTGCATGCAAAGCACTCCATGAAAATTTAATAAGAAGCACCCTAAACTATGGATCTTCTGGGATCAGTGAGTGATTTGGTGTTAATACCTATGATTTGTTGAAAATTGGAGTCCATTTTAAAATGAAATATTCTCTATATCTATTCTTAAACATCCTTCAAATTACATTATTTCAAACCCCACTTTTCCTTTCAGCTATATCTAACTAAAAGCTCAGACATAAATTGATTCTCTAGCTCTATTAATTGGGTGAACCATTTGTTAGGATTTGAGGTTACATTTTCAAGTGATGGTGGTGTTTAAGTTATCTATTGGTATTTAGACAAGATGCATAAAGAAATGTGTGGATGAGTTCCCTCCATCTATTGCTTATTTCTTTACTATCCTGGTTAAATCACATACAATGAAGTTTGTTAACATGTTTTTCCATGTCACCTTGATACAGCAGAAAACGTGAAATTGGAGGGTTCCATATGATATTATTGATCTATTTTATGAACTTTACAAATCCTAAAACTATTAATTTACTAAAATATAGAACAAATTCTATGAAAAGGGAAATTTAGTTATAAATATAAAGCAAATTAAAAATTTCGATTCACATTTGTAATATACAAGTTTCCTGTGAAAAATTTTCAATGTTTTTTTTTTAATGGAAATTGAATCCAAACCTTTGAAAAAAAAAATAATAAATAAATCAGAAATCTATTTAAAAGTAATAAGTTTTGGAGTTGACATTGTTCATTGTTAGAAAATAATGTCGTTTTATTATTTATATTTTATTTTCATGTCATCTTTTCAAGGTATATTTGACAGAAAATACCTTATTTTAGTAAATAAATTCAAAAACACACTATTTGAAGAATTAAGATTTAAAAACACCGTGGGGAAAAAAACTGCTAAAACAGAAGTTTACTTTTGTAAGACTAGGGAAAGTGGATTTTCATCTTTGTGGGCACAAGATGGCATAAGAACTCCAGCCTAGCCATCAAATAAGAAAATTCTAAATGGAACTATTATATGAAGTGCTAATAAAGTCAAATTTTTGTTGCAGTGAAACTATTGTAGCCAATTCGGATTATCTTTTTGGTAAATTGTGTCCATACTGTCACATAATTAGCTTTAGGATGCAATACAGTAATTCTTTGGCTTTGCCTGATTCTGTACTTAAAATTCCTTTTTTATTAGATCTTCTAGGTATCGTGTTGTTCCAGATTGCTTAGGGTTTCTACCGTGCAAGATCTCAACAAAATCAACCCATACTTTACAAGTGTTTCATAGACATTGTTGGGACAAGACCTTCTCTCTCTTTATTTTCATGTGTTACTTTATATTGGCCTAGAAGTATATATTTCTTTTATTAAAAAAGTTTATATTAGTTTTTTTTGTAACAAAGGAGAGTTTCAAATTCGAAATCTCTTGAAGGAAGTTGAGAAATTAATACTAGTTAAGCTATAACTCATTTATAGGTGTAAATTAGTTAACATTAAGAAAATGGGAGATTTAAGCTTTTTGTTTGCGAGGCATGCAATAGATATGACTTTATATCTGAAATTAGGATTTGTTATTGTTAGATTAGATTGAGTTATTACCGTAAATTTGTTTTCTATAGGATTTTTTATTGTTGTTGTGTCTGATATTAGGGTTTATTGAAAATTTTAGTCATTCTTCATGATTGTCTGACGCTAGTTGTTCAAGTTTTCCTTTAGAAGGTTCATGATTGCACATGGATCATAACTAGGAGGTGTCTTGCATATGGCCTTTACGTGTTTTGTTTTCCTGCCATGCTTTCTGCCTGTGGTGTGGTTGTCGGTTTTTTGGTGGAGTTAGTAGCTTTCTTGCGGACTTGGTGTGGCTAGTTTTGGTAATTTGATTGCTGCTTGTTTTTGATCGGTTAGTCTCAGTTTCCTTTTCTTGAAAGTTATCTGGTAAGGGTGCTTTGCTTTTTGTTTGCCGTGTCATGAACATGGATTCCATTCTTGCTTCCTTCTTGGTTTCTGCTCTTTCTGGATTTTTGTGTACTTTGTGCTGCTTCCATTTCTTGGCTTCATCCGCAGGCTATTTTGCAATTTGATATTTGCTGTTTTTGGGTCTCCGTATTCGGATCCTTCTGCAGTTTGGCTCCTGTAATCTTCATCCATGTATGGCTGCTGCCTGCTGCTGTTTGGTCTTGTGTTCGATTATCTCTCGTGTCTTGCATTTTCTAACCTTGAATAGCTAACTAATCTTGCTTCTGCGTCGTCCTTAATTTTCCGCTGCCGAAATCTTGGTTTTATAGTGCCTTTTGATGCAATCTTTGTCACTGCTGACAATATGGCTAGTCTTCATTTTCTGCTTGGATCTTTGTTTTGTCTTTTAGGTTTTTCCAAGTTTCTGGGTAGGCCCTTCTTTTTAGGTATGGTGCATGGTTTGCTGCTGTAATAGTGGCAGCAATCTAATCTTTCCTCTCCAGGTTGTTTTATTGCATCTCTGTGAGCTTTTTTGTTATTCTCTGCCTACAAAATAAATAATAATGAAAACTAAACCACTCTACCTTTAGACCTGATCTTCTTACTTAATCTTACTTAGCTATTTGTCAATCAGAACATATGAAAACGAAAAGCAGTATTATCACCCTGCCCTAACCATTACTTTCAAGCTAAGGCGTTTAGCATCCTTGGTTTGTGCATCATCCAGGATTTATTTGCAAGAGATAGTTACCTTTTTGTTGATAATGATCTATTTATAATTGAAAAGGGGCGCATCTTTATGATTTGGCAAGAGAGGGTTTTTTATGAAATAATCATGGGAAAAATCCTAATAGCTTGCATTGACAAATGAACGCTGAATTTTCTAACAGTGGTACTGTTAGCTAGGTTTTTCCTATTCTTCATCACGCATAATTCAAGAAATGACTTGGCCTATCTTTTGTTCTTGAAGCATTGGGCAAGTGATTGAAAGGCGCAATCTACATCCGAAGAACATCAACATGTTCGGTCAACCATCTCTTGAGCTGCAGGTAATTAGTTCTTATATTGTAGCTTATCAAGTTATTGGATTTGTACCCATATCAAGAATGCTGATATGAGCAGAAGTAAATTAATTTTATATATATATATATATATATATATATATATATATATATATATAAAAGAGGAAGAGATGATTAAAGAGTAAACAAGAATTCTTCTCTTGCTTGCTGATTAATGGTGGATTGACAAGTCAAATCATCTAATAAGTGCATGGTATAGATTTTATTTTTATAACTTTTGTTTTTCTTTTTCTTCACATGATTTTCCATAGAGCCTTTTTTTTTTTTTTTTTGCTTTTCTTTCACTTACATGTGTCTATTTTTACTGTTTGAATAGGAGTTTAATTTGTTTTCCTGGGACATATCTAAAATGTGTTAATGTAAAATTAGATCACAAGTCGCTTTGCATCTATAGAGATTTTGAACAATTAGAGATGATCCGCGTGACTCATGCTCAAGTTCTCTATCCTAACCCTGTCGAAAAGCTAGCCTCAAATGATAAATCGGGACTATTCAAAATATGATATGACATTGATTTTATAGTTTGAACTCGTAAAACGTACGGATGGTGACTTGCAACTTTGAACTGAATTATTTGTTTCAAAACCTTTGAATTAAGTCGAAGAAGGAGAAGATCATGATCATGTTTCAGGAATCTAACTATATTAATTCTATAATATGACATGGTTATGCATTAATAAAGACAATATTCTTTTGTCATTTTAGCTTGATGGCGCTGTGCATGACATGCTGAACAAGGAAATAGCAGAGAGAACCCGTGAACTGAGGTAAAACTGCAGGACTAAGAACTTTTTGCCATAACAGGTGAACATTCCAATTCTCAATGCTGAGACATATGACGACAGGCACATGAGAGGAGAAGACCTGCAAGGATTGAACATTGAAGAATTACAGAAATTAGAAAAATCAATAGAAGGAAGCTTGTGTCGCGTCTTGGAAATTAAGGTTTGTGCAGCTTGTCATCTTAATTCTGGAGATAGGTTTGATCCTGCATATATATGCTGAAAACTTTGTACATTACCTAAAACATATATTTCAACTTCTATTTGTTTCAGGGGGATAAAATTATAAATGAGATCGAAGCCCTCAAGACCAAGGTCACATTCCTGACTCCGAACATTTTCAGGCTCTTCATGCAAAACTTTATCCTGAATCAATAAAATTAAACATGTACAGCCATATGATGTGCATGAATTTATATTACCACACTTTTTTGGAGGATCAAATTATTACCATGATAACTCTATTCAATTTCTTATTATTTTTAGTTAATTTGTAGGGGGAGGAATTAATGGAAGAGAACCAGCGATTGAAGCAGCAAGTGAGATTATACCTGTTATTAATTTTCAGTTCTTCTTACTCCCTCTCCCTTATGAGGTCATTTTATATTTGGCAGGTGATGAATTTTTCTGCAGGCCAAGGACATTTGCTCAAGCGAGGGCAGTCATCAGATTCCATGGGGACCAATATCAGCAGCATGAGCTCTTGTGCTTTTCTGACATTGGGGTTGGCTACAAGTAGCCCGGAAAACAAAAATCTGAGGAAATGACATCACTGAATACCTACATAAGAAAGCCCATTGATAAAAAATAAAATGACTCAAATCGATAGACTTTCATAAGTAACGTCCCAGACCGAAAGAGCCCAATAGTAAGGTTATTCAAAATGATTAGTTCCATTCCGTTTGTGATCAACTCCTTAGCCATGCCCATTCGAGCAAGTCAAGTCACCTTCTAGTCATCAACTCCAGTTTCAATCTTCATTCGTTTACGTTTATATGTGTATAAATATATATTCTCTAGCGTACAGGTATTTTCGAATCACGTAAATATATTATTTTATTTTTTTTGGAAGATCTTAAGTACACACTTTCTTACATTATCACCGTACATTCAAGAAATTTAATAAGTTTGAACTTTTAGATAGATAGATAGATGGATTGAGCGAGAGAGAGAGAGAGAGAGAGCTGCATTCTTGATCATCAGGTTAATCCCTTAAGTTTGCAGTAATTAAGTAAATACATCGAAGACAGATGTGTGTGACTTAACCTAATTAGATGTAAACCACTTGGTTTTTTGAGCTATGCGGTTGTATTAAATATATTTATTTTAGTTTCATTACATGCATTACATTGTCGGTCTATTAAAATTTATTAAATTAAAAATAAAAGATAAAATTTTATCTAATCTATTAATTTTTTTAATTAAAATTATTAATTTTTATTTTTCATATATTTTATTGTTAAAAAATAACATGATTTTTTTTTTTTTTTGTTATGCATTCATTCTTAAATAAGAACTTGTAATAATATAACTATAAAATTTTTAAGAACAATTTAATTTTTGTTTTTCATAAAATTGCATCAAGAAAAAAATAAAAATTAATATAAAAGCTTGTATAAAATGAACTAAAAAAAATCTGTTTTGAATTATTTTTTAAAATATGTATGTATGAACGTATTTATGTATGCATGCATGCATACATGTAATTTAAAAAGCAACTCGAATGTTTTTTTTTTTTCATAAAATTACATATAGAAAATAAAGCAAAATTAATATAAAAATTTGTATAAGACTAACTAAAATCTATTTTCAATGATTTTATTAAAAAATAATAACAAATTGTTGATGTTATGTGTAGATGTTTAGTTAATGTTAAATAAGACTAATGATTTCAATATATATATATATATATATATATATATATATATATATATATATATATATATATATATATATATATATCATGACCATACTCGGTAGGTCGATTGTACAATATAAATAAAAAAATATTTTAAAAAACTTAATTTGTAAGAAATATACTAAAGTTATATTTTGATAAAATGTGATTATATCGAGAATAAGAAGAAAAAACCTCATAAATTCTATTATTTAATTGATTATTTATTAAAAGAAAAACAAATTCAAAAATCCATTTGATTTATATATATTTATTTACAAAAAAAAAAACAATAATATTAGTATAAAAGATGTATTTTTATTATTATGTGGTTCTTCTAAAATATTATTTCAATTATTTTATTTGAAAAATTCAATTATAAAATATTAAAAAAATTAATAGCAAATGGATGGTGCTATAGGTTTAGATGTATAGTTAATTTCAAATAAAATCAATGATCTCTCTCTCTCTCTCTCTCTCTCTCTCTCTCTCTCTCTCTCTCTCTCTCTCTCTCTCTCTCTCTCTCTCTCTATATATATATATATATCATGTTAACGTAAATGTACAAGATCTAACTTTGATTTCATGGTTTGAGTTATCTTAACATTGCATTATTTATATTAATAATAATAATAAATCTTTCTATTAATTCTTATCGTTTACATTTGTTTATTGAATATAATTAAATAGAAGTTCATATGATATGCATTTGCACTAATGATTGATCGAAGATGCGAGAAAAACATTAATACACTTAAATGATATTATTAAATATCCTAAGTTATAGCATTATCAAGAATGGACATTCACTAGATATAGTTAGACTTGTGAGCGTTAAGCTCATGCTATATGATAGCGAGTACGATATCTCACACCTATTAGCATGATGATGCCAAAGCAAGCACTTAGGTGATTTATGTTAGAGAACATATCACTGGACTTGACTCATCATGAGAACCCATTTGGTTTAGTCTATAAAGATCTCATACGAGAAGGATACAATTGGCCTTTTGACTTGAAGTCATCACGATTATCTCATTAGAGAATTTATGTACTTTGACACTCGTTTCGATGAACCTAGTAAAGAGTTGCACATGGACAATTCGTTGGGTACACTAAGAATCTAATGAAAATAAATGGATGACTAAGATAGGGTATGTCATTCCTTATATGCTAAAGGAATTATCACATTGCACTTCGATAAATGTTTGCTCAAGAAATTTATAGCCACAATAAGAGTACACCAATAGAATATAGTTGATTTACTCTAAGAGATAAGGCATTTGAAAATCAAAGAAAACTTGTGTGTTCATAATTGAACGGACTAATAACCAAGTTCGAGATCACGAGTATGATAAATTGACATGAGTACTAAATTATATGGTAACCATGCTCATGAAACTTAATTACGGATTAATTAATCCTCCTAGAGAATTATGTAGTCATGACACCTTTTTAGAGACCAATCTTGATTTATGTATCAAGAGATAAAAGAGGTTTTTTATTCTTGATACATTGCCAACATATCTAAAAATCTATTTAGTCATACGTATAATTTTAAGCATTCACACAAAAGAAAGAGAAGTAAAAATGTTGAAAAAAGTTTCTAATTTTGAAAGTTTTCTATTTTGGAAAAATTTTTCTAAAATGAAAATTTTTATATTTTAGAAATTAGTTTCCTAATTTGTAAGTTAATTCCAAATTTAGAAGTAAGTTACATTAAAAAAAAAAAAGTTACTTTCCTAAATTAAGTTTAAGGGTAATTTGAAAAATTATTTCATGATTTGGGCTTCTTAAAAATATTTGGCCTAATTTATTTGGACGAGTCCAAATTAATTATCAATTAATTGGACCAATAGGCTTAATTTAAAAGTGTGCAATATATTTTAATGAAAAAATAAACATGAGCCTTATTGGATAAGGCTCGGGGTTTATATGGATAAGGTTAAACAAAACCCATATAAGCAACACCTCCTAAACCTATTAGGAGATGTTGCTACCACCCCTCGTGTATATAAAGGAGAGAGGAAACAACAATAAGAAAAGGAGAGAGTGATACACAGTAAAAAGAGAAAAAATAAAGATAAAGAGTTTCCTTCCCCAAAAGTTACGGTTGTCGCATCATTTCTTAAAAGGCCCGAGTTATCGTATGAAACCCCGATTTGATTTCTAGAATAAAATTAACTATATAGAAGAATTGGAGTTAGCACTTTATGAATTTTGTTACTTTTTTTATGGGTGTTTAAGTCGCGTGGATTATCAATAAAAGTTGGATACTTAGGCCACTTCTTTTACGCAAATATTAAATTTTGCACTACAAGAGGTAATACGTAACTTATGCTTTAATTCATGTATGTATGATTAGTTGATTCAGCGGCTTGATCTTGGAAGCCTTAGATGGAAGAAAATTTTTGTTTTATTCCACACCTCCACAAGAGGCATGATCCTTCATATCATACTTAGTGGGTTAGAGTATGCGAGTATATATCAAAAAAATATTTTTCAAAAAAACTTAAAATGTAAATAATATATTGAAGTTAATAGAGTATAATAAAAATAACTAAAAAATTTATTTCGATAAAATTTGATTCTATCCAGAATAAGCGAATAAAACTTCAAAATTTTATTATTTAATTGATTATTTATTTGAAACAAAAACATATTCAAAAATCCAATTGATTTATATTTATTTATTTATAAATCAATCAAAAATATTAGTATGAAAAAATATATTTGAATTATTAGGTGGTTCTTTTAAAACATTATTTTGATTATTTTATGTGAAAGAAATAAATTTTAGAATATTTAAAAAAATAATAGCAAATGATTGGTGTTATATGTGTAGATGAATAGTCAATTTCAAATAAAACCAATGATCTTAATATTTTTTTTATACATCATGACCATATTTAATGGGTTAAACGTGTCGTATAAATCAAAAAATATTTTTAAAAAACTTAAGTTGTAAGAAATATATTACAATTAATAGAGTACAATAAGAACAACAAAAAAATTTATTTCAATATAATTTGATTCTATCAAGAATAATCAAATAAAATAAGTGAATTTTATTATTTTTATTAATTTTTTATTTAAAACAAATATCCAAAAATCCATATCTAGATAAAAATAAATTATATTTATTAACAAGTAAAATTACATAAAAAGAATAAAAAATTAAATTGGTGAGAATTTTCATCAATTTAAAGAAATCAATTTTACATAATAAGAATAATATAATCCTATAAATATGTTTATTTTGGAATCTAAAAACATGAGATGCCAAAACTTTTTTTTTAAAAAAAAAGAGAAACCAAAAAGAAATAAAGTGTCAAATTTACAAATGAATGCCCAAAAATTATCAAAATATCAAGAAAATATCATCGCTAAAAATTACAAAACTACCACATAGTGAACATTAATGATTAATGATTTGTGGCCCAATGAATAGTGATTATTGTTCTTTCGTCCAAATATTTTAAGTTTTCTTTTAATATGATTGCCAAATTTTATTTACTTAATTAGTAAAAAATTATGGTTTTACTTAAAAAAAGAAAGTTATTAATAGAATCTCTAATTTTATTTAAAAGTTAATTGCATCAAATAATTTATTTAAAAACTATTTTTATTTTGACTAATAGTTTTGGAAGATGTCATAACCCAAAATTTCTCCCAATTTTTATCCCTTTTAGCTTCTTTTATTTATTTGTTTTTTATTTTTATTTCATTTTGCAATTTACTGCCAAAAAAAGAGGAAAATAATAAAAAATGCAAACAAAAATACAAAATGCATAATAATAATAATTACATTAGGGGCATGATTGAATAAAACAGAGCTGAAA